AGGGAAAATGTTGAGTTTGTGGCATCCTTGCTCTGTGTCCCCATCGTCGTCCGAGAAATGTCCAGTCCCGATGTTAATGGTAATGTCAGACGAGGAAGATAAACAACTGCGTGTTTATTTATTTTCAAATATTTTGTTGTGTTTAAGGAGAGAGTTTACACAGCCAATTAAATTCCCATTCGACAATTTCTACACGCATTACTCAGTGATACTGCCTACATTTTTCGCAATGTGTCGTCATTCTTATTCATTCCGTTCTGGTTGTGCTGTTTCCAGTACTCTAGTTTCCCCGCCCCCTTGCCCTCTCATTTTTGCTTTAGAGTGATTTTCGACCATTTGGTCTCCCGTAGTTGACTTCTTTTTCTTTCCTAAAGAAGCTCACTTCTCAGGGACGACACTCTTTATTTCATGATCCAATCTGTTATTTCGCTGAAAGGTGACCTCAAGCGATAATTTCGGTTTCAGGCTGAAACAGTATCCCAGGGCGATCGTCTCAGGGAGTCCTCTAGTCTCCCCCGGTCCCGTAAGTCTGGACTTTTTAAGAGTTTGAGTTCTGTTTGCTCGTTTATTTGGATAGCCCTTTTTATACTGCGTTCACTAGTGTGGGCTGCACTCTGCTGCTTTGAGGGTTCCTGTGTAGCTCTAAGGGGCTGCTAACCTGAGAGTAGCAGTTAAGTGAGGCTGTAGGACTTGAACCCAGGGTCAGAAAGGTGCAAAACGGAGGAGCAGAGTGGCTGGAGCCGAAGCTTCAGTGCCACATGGATGTCTCCTTGAATCTGAACCCTCCACTTAGTATTTGAGGCTAATTACTTCCCTTCTGAGCCTCACTTCTGCATTTGTAAGTTGCAGGTTATAATCCTACCCTCTTGTGCTTTTGGTGAAGGGTAGAAGTAATGGACCCAGAGCTCCTAATAATGTCAGCTAATGCTCATTGAAAGCTTACAGTGTGCCAGGCCCTGAGTTAAGGGATTTTATAATGCCTGGCACATGCTAAGTGTTCAATGTATCATAGCTGCATTAATGATGGCCTGTAAGCACTCATGAGCACGGGCTAGCCAAGACCGGGAGTTTGGTTGCAAAGGGCCTCCTGGGCCTTCTAAAGCAGGAATGTCCAGAGAAGTCACCAAAAGCAAGGCAACCTATACGGCCTCTAGATCCAGGCAGGCCAAATGGCTTTAGACTCGAGAATTCTTAACTTTTTGGAAAGGTCTCAGATTCCTTTGGAAATCTAATGAAATCTATGGGACACTCTCTGTATGCACAGATAATTATGCATATAGTTTCAGGGCGTTTATGGGAAACTCCTGAAAATTCGGCCATGGGTTCCCTGAATTAACAGGTCATGGGAGGGTAGGCGGCAGAGATGGGGAAGGCAGACCAGACACTTGGGAAACCAGGAGTCAGAAATCCAGAGTCCTGTTAGCAAGAGGTTTGGGATCTGCTCTCTTTAGATAGGATGACTGAGCTAGGAGATCCATAAGGATCTTTCCAGCTTTATTTATTTTTTTTTTAAAAAAGTCTCAAATTCTGATTCTAAATACTAGGGCGGTTGTGTGAGGAGGTGGCTCAGGCCTTATTCACCAGCATGCAGTTCAGTTTACAGCACCCAGGAAAGAATCCATTAGTCCCCTCTTCCCAGCATGGAGTGGAGGTGATTGGAGCCTCGTGGCCTAGGTGGGGCCTTGGGGAAGGGGAGCCAGACAGCTCCTCGTAGGTGATAACTCAGCCAGCCAAAGGGATGCCCAGGAATCCAGCTCAAGTGGCAGGTCCAGCTTCCTGCCAGCAGCAGGGCCCAGGCCATTCCCCAATACTGGAGACAGAGGCCAGCAATTAGGACTGTCAGAATCCTAAAGGTGACACCCGGGGTTGAGGATAGGGAGATGGGGCCTGTTTAGGGTCAGCAGTTAAGTGAGGGTGTCAAGCCGAAAGAGACTGGAAGCAAGACATGGAAGGCGTGGCAGCGGGCTCAGTTCCTAAGGTCCTTTAGTCCACTGGCAAGAGCATACACGAGGGAGGTTGGAGCTGAGGCTGCGACTGGCTCCCGTGGATGGACACGACTCCATCTCCAGTCAGGGCCATATAGAGACTGGAATTCACAGACCTGTTGACATACCCCAGTGTAGCCAGGAGGGCCTCTCAGGATGTGCTGCCACTTACTATCTGTGTGACCTGGGGAAAGTTGCTTAACCTCTCTGAGCATCAGTTTCTTCAGGTAGGGTTAGTGGTTTAACAATTGGCTCTCTGGGGTAAAAAAAAGTCCTGATTTGTGTGTTTGCCAATTTCTGTGGTGTAAATACTCCCGCCAAGGTCAATTTCAAGCTGCTAACATTGTATTACAAAACTCAGAGTCGGGAAGAGATGGACACAATGAACTCTCACTAGCTGATAATAACAGGCTCCAGCACACCACTGGGTAGAATCTGATGGGCTCCAAATAAACAAAAACAAAACAAAACAAAAAAACCAAACCCACTGCCATCG